GGGGGGGGAGCGGTCCTGTTCTTCAGATCTTGCTGGGGGGGTATGTAAGCAATTCTGACCGGAAGGCGTACTAAACTGGGGCAGTAATATTGATTACCCTGCAACACACAATCCTAAAATACTGTAAATAAGTCAAGATTCCGGCTTTTGGATGCTTTTCTTTTCGGTCGCATGTTAAAAATCAGTAGTCGGTGGAATGCCTATTTAAGTAGTATTCGTTGTGCTATTGATTTTCGGTGTCCCTATACATTCAAATATACTTCATAAACAAAACGCATAAAAAAAGTAGTTTTCCTTGTAATCATCATTATTAAATCAAATTTTTTCTTCAAATTCTATATCAAAAGGAAGGATATATTTAGCTTGAAAAAAGGGACAAAACTGTCTTGTAGAGTTGCTTAAATATATATTCCCCCGCCAAACTGCCCTGATCGAGGCTATGCGGCTCTTGGATTCCATTTCTGATTCTTAGACGGTTAGCCGGCTAAAGTATTGTCACTTTATCTTAACACGAAAAAAAAACAGGGACAGTCTCGCCCGTCAATTTATACGACAACCTAGTAGAAGGATTATTTCTTTTTCACTATACCCACAGCGCACTTTCGCTGCCCTTTTCAAGATCACGTTTCCTCGTTTTTGCTGGTCCGTAGGCCCACTAGAGCAAACTCACACACAAGCAGCATATTCCTTGGCACTGCATTCGCACATGACTACCTGTGCCAGAGACACGCAGGCCCTGGGTTCCATAAGAGGAAAGTGCAAAGGTACCGCACCCTAGGGCTAACTCAGAGCGCCTTTTGTGACGTTCTACGGATTACGCATACTTTTGCGTACAACTTGCGTGCAAATATGACACATACACAAGTCATAAAAAACCACACGACTTTATTAGTAGATCTTTCTAGGAAATAAGAGTGCAGGCAGAACGGTTAAAAATAGCAGCCAGTCTTTCTTACTAAAGTGAGTGTTGGTTATGACACGGTGCAGTTAGGTGTTAGAGGCAAAAAAATATCATTTTTCAAGGCACTGCCTGGTCGGAAAAGAAAGGCTCTGCACTGCCGCTTAACATGCGAAGAAGTATCCAAAAAAGGAGAATTATGTTTTTAGGTATGCAGGTTGGTAGTACTGCCCTCTTCCGCTAGGTACGTTTAGTAGACAGTATCTCTGCTCAGGTGGCGAAGCATTGGACAGAGTGATTGTTTTATTAAACCGCCTCCGAAGGCTCTCGGCAATTTGGCGATGACGCACTGTTGGGAACAGTGCACAAACATAAAACTATATGGGCAGAAAGAAATTACCGACAAAGACAAGGGTGTAAGCCTATCTGCCACTGTATATTCCTGATCAAATCCCGACAAGACAGCGAGCCTGTGGCACAGTGATTAGGGCGTTGGACTTTTTACTAACAAGGTTGCGAGTACGAAACTCGAGCGGGGCACTAATCTCTGGGGGCAGCGCTTA